TTCGACGAATCGTAGATAATAGAGAGGACTAAGTAACTCGCGTGTCATCTATGTGAATTCACCCTTGACCAAGATAATATAATTTTCGAAAAAAAAAATTTTCGTTTTTCCAAATGTTTTTTCGCGAAAACAATGTTGAAATTAGAGCTTCCTAGCATTTCGATCCTTACCTTATTATAGCGGATTCGTAACAATTATTTTTATACCCGTTATATACCTCTGATTTTGATAGAGACAATTTTTTTCTACTGCGAGAGGAGATAGAGTTTCGATGGTCATTCTCGAGCGTTTGTTGTTAAAAAAAAAAAAAAAAAAAAAAAAAAAACATTTCATAAATGAAACAAGGGTGAGCATTGACAAGGGGTTACTTAGCGAATTATTCTATATGGATTGTGCACCTAACACGATTCACTATGTTGTAATATTGCGCGACAGGCGCGTGATATATGCATACACTGTTTTATTGCAATATAAATGTGTATATAGGAACTAACATGTTATAGATTCGAGAAATAATATATATATATATATATATCCATATAGATATACATGTATAGATATATATATATATACACACACGTATATACGTAAAAGAAACGAGAATTCGGAGAGAAGCGTGTGTTGTTATCTCTTTTATTACCGGAAACGCATTTCCGCCGGGGAAATTAGTCTGTCCGATCAGATAGCGTGCGGTTTCTGCGGTTGGATAGTATTTTAATTATTGTAACACTCGTATTCCATGTGTTGACTTGTCGTTTAATATGTCGATTTGTCGACATGTAACGCAATGTTTTTTTTTTTTTTTTTTTTTTTTTATATATATATATATGTTCCACTAATATCCCTCTCTTGGTTTTCGCTTGATTCCATGTATCGTCGCGTGCAAATAACAAGCATTATTTTTAATAGAGAATGTGCGAGATTATCCTGATTGTCCCCGCACGCTGGAATGCGTATTCGCGTTCTGCGTTTCTTTTTTCTTTTTTTTTTTTTTTTTCTTCTCTGTCCCTTCGATCAAACTACCAACGTCCAATGTCTGAACCCTTTAATATATTTACACCTTAAAAGCATCCAGGATTTTACCTCGTGAAGTATTACGAAGTATTATTATTATTATTATTATATTATTATTATTATTATTATTATTATTATTATTATTATTATTATTATATATAAAAATCAATTCAATTGTATTTATCTGTATCCAAAGGACGTTTGAAAAGATTGCGATTAAATGTTAAGATCGAAGATATCGATATCGATATTTTTGATAAATTTGAAGAAAGAGATATTAGAAATATCGTAGAACGAACGTCCTTTTTATACGTTCATTTTTGCATGCGTTTTTTTTTTTTTTTTTGCTACTGCTTGAGCATGTTGTGCAAATCTTGGATAATTATTTTTTTTTTTTTTTTTTTTTTTTTTTCTTCTGGCAAATCATTCCATTCCATTTTGCGTTGTACTTGTGATCATACCGTTTCTATACTCTTTTGTTAATAATTTTTGTTCGTGTGTATACACAAAAAAATATTCATTGCGCATCTTCCGTCATTATTTATATTTATCTACTCGTACAATGAAGATAACAAATGTTCGTTGCACTTTTCGACATACATTTCCAACAATCACTTCTCTTATCACTTTTACTTAGTATAGAATATATACATATATATATATATATTTATATATGTGAATATATATATATATATATATATAATTATATTCACATATAATATTCATTCTCATATCATAGCTTTGTAGAATCGAATATTAGCCCGATACCCGATTAAATTTATTTCCTCGAATTCTGTCCGCGTGCGAATTCCAAAGCAAAATAAATTTAATTGGTCGAATAGTTGCTGCGAAGCCCTTCGAATCCGAGATAAAAAAAAAAAAAAAAAAAAATTTCGAAAATATAAATCGAGATGATAAAAATAAATCTCGTCTCGCGTTCGAGGGGCGGGCTTGATGTCGTAATGTTTAACACATTATTCGCCCGCTTTGATTTAATCGATTTAAAAAAAAAAAAAAAAAATTCGAATCGTCTCTCATCGAAATTATTACAAATGCCTCGCATCCGAGAAGCATCCGAATACTTAATCACTGTCTATGTTATAGGCGTCCCGTACCCAATATTCCTCCCCGAATTCCCGACAGACCGTACTACGGCCGATTAAACTGAGCTAGTCCATGGAAAGCACACGACACCTGTGCACACCCCACGCCCGAGAGTATTCGAAGAAAAGAGTTTCGTTTCCGAAACGAGCCGATGACCGGGGACACGAGCTCAGCACGAGACGAGAAAACGGTGATGAAGACAATGTGATGGTTTTTTTACCTACCGACGCATTGACTGATTCGAAAGATGATGGGTGACGGTGAGAGAGAATCCAAGGTTTCGGGAGAGAATCTTCCGAATTCGAGAGGAGCGCAGGACGCGTCGCGTCCTATTCTTTTTTTTTCTCTCTTTCTCTCTCTCTCTCTCTCTCTCTCTCGAGATCTTCGCCCTCCTTTAATCTTGGCTACGTCTGTCTTTGTACAAAAAAAAAAAAAAAAAAAAAAGAAAGAGAAGAAAAAAATAAGAAAATGTCTGATCTTCGTTGCGCGTGTGAAGAGGAAGGTTTGATTGAATGAAAAAGGAGGGAATTGATGGACGAGGAGGAGGACGAGGAGGAGGAGGAGGAGGAGGAAACAAGGAGGAACAAGGCTGTGCCACGAAAACAAAAGGGAAGAGAAAGAGGGACCAAGAAATGATGAACAGACGAGGGGCAAGGCGAGGGAAAGCGACGTGTGTATATATATATATATATATATACATATATATATATATCTGTGCCTGTGTCTGTTATCTATCGATGGTCGACAGCCGGAGATCCAATCGGTCACTTCTACTTCTTCTTTCTCTTGATATTTCGTCTTCTATGTTATTTATAAATACCGTTTAGAATTACGTGTTTTAGCTGTTAAGTATTAATAGACTCGATGCCGCTCGATGCGCGCGATTAAAGCTGGAGGATTGGTTATAAGTGTTAAGAAATGGGTCTTCCGGCAAGAAGCGACGCAATTGTTATTTTTCGAAATAACCGATTTCGTCCTTTTTTCCTTCATTAACGGTTAATCAGTATTATAATAAGTAGGAAACGAAATTGCACGTTCTTGCGATTATAAACTCAAATTGATCAAATTTTTATAATAAAATTTTTAATCCGTTCATTTTTGTTTGGAATCTTTTTTTTTTTTTTTTTTTTATATATATAACTTAATATATAAATTAACCACGTATTATATCGGACAAAGTTTTAAGTTTCGATCATTGAAACGCTCGAACGTTAAATTCTTAGAAGATAGCTTTATTATCTATGCAAAATGTGAAATATTTTATTACTCAACGTATTTAGAAATATAGAGCGATAGGAGTCGATACGGTTCGATCGACTTAAAAGTAATTTTTAAACTAAAGCAATACTGGAGATTTTCTAGTTATAAAGTATTCATAGTTAGAGGAAAACAATTTAATTTAGTGATTGATTGGCGCTTCTTGTCCGAGGACTTGGTAACAAGGTATTGTTCAAATGAGATTCGTGGACGACGTAACGTGCAACCCGATTACCTCGATTTTAGAAAAACTTACTAGAGCAAAAGAGTACACACGGTTCATCCTACGATTCGTTCGATCGAACGGGTGAACGAAATGCGAGACGATGATATTCAATCGACCACAGCATTCCAGAAACGCCTGTGTGCAAGCTTGTTTGCGAAACGTAAAAAAAAAAAAAAAAAAAAAAAAAAAAAAAAAAAAAAAAAAAAAAAAAAAA